ATACACTCGATAATAAACACAGTAATGGACTCAATAATACATTCAATAATAAACTCAATTATTTCGATTTTCTGTGTAAAATTATACATACAGGTAATGAAATTAATTTACGGACAATCATATAAATCTTTCAGGAAATTTTTTCTTCAAAATTAAACATTCGAAAAAGTGACAACTTGTAAAACAGACCAATCTAATTTATTTCTAATGGTCTACAAAATTAAAATTGGTACCAAAGCATTTTCACAAGTTCGACCAATTTTATCAAAGTAATTATTTCATTCCGAGTGCTATAAAATCGACTAAACTTTAAAACATTCGAACAATCCACGACATTTTAGCTTCAAATTGTTGAAATACTCGTTAAGATCCGCGATTTTTTAACCCTTCGCGTCAAATGCCCCAACAATAAGTCACGCAAAATAAAAATACTCAATGCCAGAGAAACTATTTCGTTGCTAAAGTCAACCCCTCGCTTCGATCGCGAAGGGTAAAACGCTCCGATAAACTCTCAAGTACACGAACACCGAAAACAGAGCAGCGAAAGAGCCATCGAAAGCTGCGAAGCAACAACGCGCGTAGAAGAAAACGGTGTCGCGTTGTTGGCGTATGAAAAAAGAAAATCGAGCCGGGCGATCGAGCCCCGGCGCGGCGGACAAAGCGGAGGAGCAACCGGAAAAAAAAAGAAGGAGGAACAAAGAGAGCCGCGGTGGGTACGGGGCCACGTGGTACGGGTAATTTTGTAATCTGAGCCCGGCTGGCGGAGCGTGAAATTTTCAAAAACATCTCCCGTATCTAGCCACGGGCCACTAACGACTCTCCCCCGACGGTATCGGCCGCCATCTCGCCGGCGCATTTTCGCGTAAAATTCCGGAATAATGATACTGGCCGGCCTTTAACAACCGCCACGTTTGTTCGTCCAAGAATTCGCCCGGGCATCGGGCGTACAATGTGCCATAACGAGCGGAGTCCGTTGCCTGTAACACGAAGTTATTTCATTGTGCTCCGCGGCGAGCCGCCCTCGCAGCTCGCGGAACACCCGGAAGACTTCTCCTCCCCCCGAACGGCGCCCACGCAGCCCCCCTATCGCCTTTCTTCGTAACTGGGTTGAGAACTCATCCGGATTCAGCCGCGGATATTTTTAATGACACTCGCCATCGTTTCCTGCCGGCCCGAGAGCCGTCAAATTATCGCGTCCACGTTGCCGAATAACGACCGGCCACTCGCATTGTTGCCCTCGCTCGTTCCGCGAAATTATAGGGTAGCGGAGCTGGTTACTGTGGCCCGACCAATTGCTGCGTTTCGTTCGTTTTCGGTCATAATTAACTTTATATATTTCTCTTTCCGTTTAAACGTGACTGTTAAGAAATTGCTTGCGACAGGATTATTAATACTTGACGCATTTAATGTATACGCATATATATAATGCATTTAATAATAATAATACAATAATACATTTAGAATTCAAATATTCTGCGTTCGGAAAATATGTACTGTCTAAAAATAAGACGTGTTAAATCGTTTCATTCAAAAATTAACAAAGTATATGTAGTAGTATATTTGTATATTATTAAGTAGACTTAAAAAATATATTTGATATATACTTCCGTATTTTCGTACTATATTAAATACATATTTATATATCTTAGTATATAAATATGTATTTGATATGATACAAAAATATGGAAGTATATATTAAATATATTTTTATATCTAAATATATTTATATATCTAAACATCGATCTACTTATATATCTAAATATATAAGTATGTATTTAATATAATACGAAAAAATATGAAAATATATATCGAATATATATTTTCATAGTATGTCTACATACTTTGTTAATTTTTGAATGAAACGATTTCATATGTCTTATTTTTAATAACTATAAAGTTGACTTTACTCATTATCATTAATCTGTGAAGCTTTGTCCATAATTCGCCAAACATCAGGAGGCGTGCGTTAAGTATTTAATCCTGTTACAAACACAGTTTTTAATCCACGCGTAAGTACTAAAATGAAATATTAAAAATCGTTATTCGCAAACATTGTTTTACGAAAGTGATCTTCGCGACGACGGATATATAACATTTTTGAACGAAAGAATTCCATTGTACAACCATAAGTGTGCACAATTATCTATCAAAAATGTTCCGCAAACATGCATGAAACTTCGCATAAAACGTTCCCCAAAATTCGATCCGACGTTGTAATTAATTCTGTCGAATTTTAGTACCGTACTTCGCCAATTCTACGAACGCAACCTGTGAACATAACCTACAAACAGGATCTGTAAACGCAGCCAACAAACGCAACCTATAAACACGCCGATTGTTTATACAAATATCATGAAATATCAGATGTAATGAACGATGTTATTGTTAGAGTAATTGAAAATCGAACTCGTAACAAGCCGGTTACAATGCATTCGCGTCGGAATAATTTGGAACGGCTAGAACAACAACGGAAGAAATGCTCGTCGACGTGCTGACGTCGTGACGCAGACGCCAATTAAACGTTGCGCGAAAGGTTGCTATTAATACAAATAAATTGTGTCCGGTTTTGCAACGTGTTCGGTTGCAATCAGCATCGAATCGAACCGAGCCCTTGCGCAGTTGTCCCCCCC